TATTTATTCATCAGCAATACAGGGAGTGCAGAATTATTAGGCAAATGAGTATTTTGACCACATCATCCTCTTTATGCATGTTGTCTTACTCCAAGCTGTATAGGCTCGAAAGCCTACTACCAATTAAGCATATTAGGTGATGTGCATCTCTGTAATGAGAAGGGTGTGGTCTAATGACATCAACACCCTATATCAGGTGTGCATAATTATTAGGCAACTTCCTTTCCTTTGGCAAAATGGGTCAAAAGAAGGACTTGACAGGCTCAGAAAAGTCAAAAATAGTGAGATATCTTGCAGAGGGATGCAGCACTCTTAAAATTGCAAAGCTTCTGAAGCGTGATCATCGAACAATCAAGCGTTTCATTCAAAATAGTCAACAGGGTCGCAAGAAGCGTGTGGAAAAACCAAGGCGCAAAATAACTGCCCATGAACTGAGAAAAGTCAAGCGTGTAGCTGCCACGATGCCACTTGCCACAAGTTTGGCCATATTTCAGAGCTGCAACATCACTGGAGTGCCCAAAAGCACAAGGTGTGCAATACTCAGAGACATGGCCAAGGTAAGAAAGGCTGAAAGACGGCTGAAACGTCAAGACTGGGCCAAGAAATATCTCAAGACTGATTTTTCTAAGGTTTTATGGACTGATGAAATGAGAGTGAGTCTTGATGGGCCAGATGGATGGGCCCATGGCTGGATTGATAAAGGGCAGAGAGCTCCAGTCCGACTCAGACGCCAGCAAGGTGGAGGTGGAGTACTGGTTTGGGCTAGTATCATCAAAGATGAGCTTGTGGGGCCTTTTTGGGTTGAGGATGGAGTCAAGCTCAACTCCCAGTCCTACTGCCAGTTCCTGGAAGACACCTTCTTCAAGCAGTGGTACAGGAAGAAGTCTGCATCCTTCAAGAAAAACATGATTTTCATGCAGGATAATGCTCCATCACACGCGTCCAAGTACTCCACAGCGTGGCTGGCAAGAAAGGGTATAAAAGAAGAAAATCTAATGACATGGCCTCCTTGTTCACTGATCTGAACCCCATTGAGAACCTGTGGTCCATCATCAAATGTGAGATTTACAAGGAGGGAAAACAGTACACCTCTCTGAACAGTGTCTGGGAGGCTGTAGTTGCTGCTGCACGCAATGTTGATGGTGAACAGATCAAAACACTGACAGAATCCATGGATGGCAGGCTTTTGAGTGTCCTTGCAAAGAAAGGTGGCTATATTGGTCACTGATTTGTTTTGTTTTGTTTTTGAATGTCAGAAATGTATATTTGTGAATGTTGAGATGTTATATTGGTTTCACTGGTAGTAATAAATAATTGAAATGGGTATATATTTGTTTTTTGTTAAGTTGCCTAATAATTATGCACAGTAATAGTCACCTGCACACACAGATATCCCCCTAACATAGCTATAACTAAAAACAAACTAAAACTACTTCCAAAAATATTCAGCTTTGATATTAATGAGTTTTTTGGGTTCATTGAGAACATGGTTGTTGTTCAATAATAAAATTAATCCTCAAAAATACAACTTGCCTAATAATTCTGCACTCCCTGTATAAAACAAAAAAACTATGCATACATTTAAAAACAAATACAAATCAACTTATCAGTCTGTTGTGCAAGTCCTTAAATGCCAATACACGTTTAAGGACTGCATTTAAGGACTGCACTACAAACTGATAAGATCGTTTATATTTGTTTTTAAATGTATGCATAGTTTTTTGTAATTATTTCTTTATACGTTTATGGTGAGGTGGAAGGTATCCACTTCACAGGTGTTGTAGAGCAGCTATTTACCATATTGTTTTTGAAGCACTACTTTTCACACCAACTCACAAGTGAGGCATTCCTGTTATTTGTAAGTATCTTGTTAGGCAGATACCTCCAAAAATATAAACAAAAAAATGGAAAAAGAAAAATTTAAACAACAAAACAAATGCAAAAATGACAATATGTATATAGTCCCAGTGTGCACACACTAAAAAGGAAAAGAATATTCAAATCTAGATGCTTAGATATTATTGGGCAGATCTCAATCCTTCCAGTTGTTAAGTCCTCTCTAAATGTCGTCCAATTTACCTGAAGTTTTGCTGGAGGTGTCTGCACCTAGTGTACCTGGATACTGCTATAGATAAGGTAGAAGCTGTCCAAGCTTGTATGATAAGAAGCTGCCATTAGGAGTCTCTGGGCTGCATGCTCGGGGCTTTTCTGTCCCTTTCAAAGGCAGAACATGGGTGGGCGGGATGGGCAGAAATTTACGGGGCAAGTAAGCGTCTTTTATAATTTTTCCATATGACTCATTTTTTTTTGTTCTGCACTCGGGATTGTTGCAGAAAGGCAGGTTTATTGAAACAAAAACTTAAACGTTTTGGCCTACACAGGTGCCTTTATCAAGCTATTATTGTCCTGCAAGTAGTGAGGTGGGGCCTCCATGGATTATATTTGTTATTTCAGCTCATCCCACAGATGCTCAATCAGACTTAGATCTGGGGAATTTAGAGGCCAAGGCAACACCTTGAACTCTTCGTCATGTTCCTCAAATCATTCCTGAACAGTGTGATAGGGTGCACTATCCTACTGAAAGAGGCCACTACCATCAGGCAACACCACTGCCATGAAAGGGTAAACATGGTCTGCAACAGTCTTAAGGTAGTTGGTTCATGTCAAATAATATCCACATGAATGCCTGAACCCAAAGTTTCCCAGAAGAACATTGCCCAAAGCATAACACTGCCTCTATAAACCTGCCTTCTTCCCATAGTGCCATCCTGCTGCCATTACTTCTCCAGGTAAAACACTCACACTCACCTAGCCATCCAACAGATCTAAAAAAAAATAAATAACATGATTCAGCAGACCAGGCAACCTTCTTCCAATGCTCCATGGTCGAGTTCTGACACTCACGTCTCCATTGAATGTGATTTTGGCAGTGTGCCCCATTTGCACCAAGCTGCGATGCGATGTGTTTTTCTATCATGGCCAGAAATATAAACTACAGTAGCTCTTCTGTGTGATCAGACCCGATGAGCTAGCTTTTGCTCCACACAAGTTCCAGTGAGCATTGGGTTTCAATGACTCTGACACCAGTTCACCAGTTGTTCTTCCTGGCACTATTTATGGTAGATATTATCCACTGCATACCCAGAACATCCCATAAGACTTGCTGTTTTGGAGATGCACTCACCCCGTCATCTAGCCATCACTATTTGGTGCTAGTCAAAGTCACTCAGATCTTTTTGGTTGCCCATTTTCCCTGCTTCCAACACATGAAATTCAAGAATTGACTGTTCACTTACTGCCCAATTTGTCCCACCCCTTGGCAGGTGTCATTGTAACAATGTTATTTTCTTCACTTGTCAGTGGTTTTAATATTTTAATCTTGTGGCTGATCAGTATATATATATATATATATATATATATATATATATAATGCCCTTTTTATATACTCCTGGAACACAGTAACAAGCGTTCCAGGTTTCCAGTCAGTTGATAGCTTGTTTAATTAGTATTTACATGTTTGATCATTACAGTGGTTGTACTGAGGTCTATTGCATGAAGATGCAGATTAGCTCCATCTCCTTCCCGCTGACATTTCTTCTGACAAGTGGAGGGAAATAATGGTTTATATATCCATTGTAGTGGTGAGTGCAGAATAAAATTAAGATTTAATTAAAGAGCACATTGTTTGAGAATTACTACCTCTCTATTACCGATTGACAATGCACCACCAGACTCTGTTGGATTCACAATAATGTGTGGTCAAAGCTGTAAGCCTTTTCATTCCACTACATATGATAAACTGGGCTGCACAGTGGAACAAAAGACTTCAGATCAAGTTTAAAGTCACAGAGGAATTGAAGGTGCATGCTTCTATGAAGAGTCTGGATAGCTATAATCTCTGATCTACGCAACTTAACTGCTATTTTCATCAAGCTTGAAACAGCAATGTTACACCAATACATCTCGATGGGGTGCATGCAGCGTCTTTATGCTGATCGTGAAACTATGAACACTGATTCCCTAAAGAATTCAGGACCACAATAGCAAGCGCCTCTAGCGGATATATGACTGATTGATTGATTGTCTGACTAAAATCCACTATATACCATTTTTATTGAATTTCGGTTGAACTAAATAAATACATTACTAGATAAACTACTAGAATAACAGGCTAGACTATCACTGAGGTCCTGACTAAGTCAGCATTTTGGGAATTAGAGATTTTTACCAGAAATGAATGGCAGTGCACTTTAGGGAACGTGCAGCAACATTAATTATACAGAATGTGATTACTGCTCACATTGATAAATACAAATGTTCATATTCTGCAACAACCGTTTGGTTAGAGGAAATTGGACATTATCGGTGAGTCAGGCTTCAGATTTCAGGATGGCTATGGGGCCGCAGATTGCACCATGCAGGATAGCCATGTCCTGTGTTACATCAGCAGTCAATTAGAATGTATTTAAATGTACATCACCATCACTCTTCCTGTCATGGGATATGATCACAATATTGATTTTCACTTAATCTCTGGTGTTTGTCTGCTTTCTGTGTAGTGCTTGTTGGTGGTTATTTGTACGCATTTGTGGCAGAAATAATCTTTCAGAAATAAATTAAGAATGCATATTGCTATCTGTAACAATACAGCCATTTGGCAGCCGTACAACATGAAGCATTTTAACTAATTATTTGTTATCAGATGTTTCGATTTATTTAATGTTCTATTTTAATATTTTAAGTGTCACCAAAGCAAACTGTTTATTCAAGACGTTCCGATCTATGAAAATCTGCCCAGTTTGCTTGTTCAACCTGAGGTGGCTCTATGATTGATTTAATCTGGGACTCTAATAAAAAAAATGCATACTATAAGGTTGTAATTAGTGATGTCCCGAACGGTTTGCCGAACGGTTCGCCACGGATGGCGAACATATGCGCTGTTCGGTCCGCCCCCTATTCATCATCATTGAGTAAACTTTGACCCTGTACCTCACAGTCAGCAGACACATTCCAGCCAATCAGCAGCAGACCCTCCCTCCCAGACTCTCCCACCTCCTGGACGGCTCACTAAGAATGCAGCTTCAAAATGGATGCTGTCCAGGAGGTGGGAGGGTCTGGGAGGGAGGGTCTGCTGCTGATTGGCTGGAATGTGTCTGCTGACTGTGAGGTACAGGGTCAAAGTTCACTCAATGATGACGAATAGGGGGCAGACCGAACAGCGCATATGTTTGGGAAATCACTAGTTGTAATCAGTCAAAGGTAGACAGCCATCCGCAGCTATTTTACCAAATGTAGACCTGAAGTAAGCATGTTTACACTCAATCTCTAAGGGATTTTTACTCTAAACAGTGACTTGCAATTGGCAACCAAAATGCAAACTAAAGACTAATGTTGATTTGACCAACATTTTGCAAGTTTGTTGTTCACTCACTGAAATTTGTGTTAAGTGGACAGATCTCCTTGAAAACATTGTCTCCCTAGTAATAATTCCCTGTTATATCTTTATTATCTTTATTAAAGTTTATTGAGTTTATCTCCACTGAGCAAAACAACCAGGAAGTAACAGCACTGATTGATTGACAGCCAGGGTGCTGTAGCAAGGTTATTTATAGAAGAGTACATTTCTATTGAAATCTGCACTTTTTGTAAAATGTAAAAAAGACACACTCTTCATACACAGAGCACTTAAACTAAAGTGCTTTAGAATTAGCTCTCTATCTATATAGATATAGAAACAAATCAAACTATACCTTGCACACAGGCTCCTGAGATTTCCAAGACCGGGTGCATAGCCTGGGCTTCAATATCGATATAAGCAAGTAGAATGGCTGTACTCACGGATTTCCATTTAAAAAATAACTTTTATTCAGTTTCCATAAAATAAATCGACGTTTCAGTCCACCTTGTGGACTTTCATCAGGATTCTGATGAAAGTCCACAAGAACTTTCGTCATATATATATATATATATATATATATATGTATATGTGTGTGTGCGTGAATGTCAGTGTTTATGCATGTAGGTGTATGTATCTGTGCTTATGTATCAGTGTTTGTGTAAGTCAGTTCACCTGTGCATGTGTGTCAGTGTTTGTGTGTGTCAGTGTATGTATCTGTACATGTGGTCTGTGTGTGTGAATCATGCATGTATGTCAATAAGTGTCAAAGTAACTGCTGTGTACCTGTGTCAATATATGTTGTGGTGTGACCTAAATATGAATATTAATCTCTTAATACATAATAATTAAGCAATACGGAACAACATTAATATTTTTATAATTCATGGTATTATGGTCGAATATGTGGATAGAAAATACACAAAACGTTGTAATATTAAATGTATATTTAATATAACTATAATAAATAAACAGATGCTATCGGAATGTCAATTTCAATAATTATACAATACAATACTACACAAAACACTATTGGTTGCTAAATATTATACAAAAGGCTATTACAATTGCTAACTGTTACAATACAAACATATTACTTACAAGGCCCCAGCCAAAGGGCTGGGGTTAAGTCAGAGCTGGTGCTACATGATCAGTCAGGTACAGGCAAACAGGGACAGAGTTTTCTCCTCCATCTGGTTTTATTCAGTGTAAGTAGGCTGGCCTGTGATGTCACTGCCAGAAGCACATGTCTTCCTACACACTCCCCTAGTGGTGCCCCCAAAGCATTACACTAAATATGCTTTCTTTATGATGTAAAGTCATTAATTAATAAATACCATTACAAACCACCCTTTGACTTATGTCATAAAACAAGCATTTATAAAACCAGTAAATTGTGAATCTTCCCCATTTTAACACTACCTGTCCTACAACAAAACCCACCTTTTGAAAAACGATACCCATTTACCCATTAATTATTACCCATTAACATTTTATTGCTTATATAAATGTTCACCATTGAGCACATGCATTACCAGTTGGGAAATAGGCACATACCCACCCTTATAATAATGAACAACTCAAACCATGTTTTATTAGATTAACCAATGATATTGTGTTCATGTGAGGATGTGTTTTGGAGCTTAATATAGTATTAGACACCACAAACTCATAACACCTATGAATCATGGCACAGACCGACACGATTTCTGTAGCCTCTGGCTGGTCTGTGTGCCTGGAATTTTCACAAACATTAGTCCTGGAAACTGGATACTCTATTCTTTGACAGTCTCATAGAACATACGCATGGAGACAGGGATGAATGAAACAGTTCATGTGATCAAGGACTTTTGTGTGTTTGTGGTCACATTGTTTTGTTTTTTCTTTCTTTATACCATTAACCACCTTGACGTAACAGTTTCCTGCTCCTGATGCATTTTGTTCCGACTCTCACCCCTCTTAGCTGCAATATTTTTTCTCCTTACAGCAACAGTTGAGCATAGTGTCCAGTGCTTCTTCTTCTTCTGCTTAAAATATCCTTGCTTGAAAGTTCTTGAATGAAAACACAGGCAATGACGAACACAAACATAAATAACAACTGTGCCAATCATCACAAGTACCATTTGATTGTGGTGTCTTAACCATATTTTTTTTCCTATGGCGTTTGGATAAATACCTACACACCTCTCTTCACATCCAGCACACTCCTGATTCACAGATAAACACAATATCACTGCTGTATCTACCAATTTAACCCAAACACTCGTTATTACTGCTGCATTTACCAATTTAATCTAAACACTCGTTATCACTGCTGTATTTAACCAATTTAATCTAAACATTAACCAAAACAATTACATTCCTATTTACCACCCTTCTATTTAAACATGTATAGATAACCCAAAATGCCTACTTTCTCTTATCCCTCTTATTTTTTTTGTTTTTTGAACTGCAACCACTCATGCACTTTACACAGACACAAATCAAACACCTACTGGACAATGGGGTTCCCTCGTTAGAGCCCTCCCACCCCAGTTTGGTTTACACAAAAATACCCCCTGGTCCCTATGGGTCAATCCCCCCCTTTCCCAGGCAAGCATACATACATACATACATACATACAATAATAATACATAAGGGTTTCAATTGCAATACAATCACTAGAAATAAGAGAACAGTATGCACAAAATCATAGCATAGACATGTTAAATAGACAATAAAATAAAACATTCAATAGCTCATCAAAGGTCAACATTTAAACACTGGTCTCCATCTGATATTCTATCTGTGTTCCAATGTCCACCCCTGGTTTCTGCTACATCTGAAAAAGGTAAGAAATCAGATCAGGATTACTTTTCCTTGTCACTTATAGCGTATACTGCCAAATACTGCCAAATCCTTTACTTAGCATATACACATATAAATACATTCCCTAAACTTTTCATTTTATAAACAATTTGTTCAACAAGGTAACTTTCTTAATTTTCTACTTGGCTCTTAAAATAAACAATCAGCTAATAGCTGCTTTCTGCATCTTCTCTGCAATTCAGGAAACACATTTCTAGCCAACCTAAACATGTTTAATAACTCTCCCCCCTTTGGTTAAATTATAGAGGAGTGAACCACAACACCTCTTCCGCCTCTGAAAGGATATAGGTCAATATGTCTCAAAGTTCAACACTTCTGACAGCTATGAGTGACTCCCTATTAATTTCTAGCCTTTCCACGGACATGCTTGCACCTCGCGGCTAAGGGCCTGCACAACTAACCACCCTGTTATGGCAGTGGCTTTCCGCATGGGGGTGACCGCCCCCGCAAAATTATAGAGGAGCAAACATACAGCAGCCTCTTTTCCGGCTCGATTAAAGGTTCTGGGCCAATATGTCTGCAATTTAACCAGTACATTCACGTATCACTTATTGTATATTTCCTGGTCTCTCAGGAATTTCTATTAAATAGCGTATCCCCTTCCCAGAGCAATATACAACAAAAACTAGTCACCAAGGGTCTCTATGGTCATGATAGGCCACCCTACCACTAGTGTAATACGCCCTTTTTTTAAATATATTTCCTGGTCTCTCAGAGATTTTGCCTATCCCTTTCCCAGAGCAATATATATAAACAATTACAAATAAGTTACAAAACGCTACTTATAAGTAATACAGGGTTTCAAATAATAATACAGGATAGAACTGCACAACAACTGTTGGGTATGCTCCCCCTTATCCGGACACGTTTAAATACCCCCTAGCTCAGGTTCCCCACCCGCTACTGTAACTAAAATCACAGCCCACGTTATGGAGGTTCACCCGCTAGGCAGATACACCCTAATTCAAAGCATGGAAATATTAAAATCGGTTATAGATGGCTTCTAAAATAATATAAATCTTAATCTGAGCCCCTACACTTACTTTGTTAAAAATGCTAACTTGTTAAAATATTCAGACTAAATAGGACAAAAGAATTATTTTACCATTTTTTCAGTTCATTTGTTACCAGTTCCTGCATATGTCCAGTAATTCCTTAGTCCTGGATAATAAAGCTGAAAAACACTCCACAAATTGATTAGCTTAGGCAATTACATTTTCTCATACAGGCAAGACTACCCACCAACAACAAGGACAAATTCTCCCCCAGCTGTAGCTGAAAAGCATGGTCACACAGCTGTTAAAAAGGTGGTCTCTCCTTCATGAGTCAAAATCATATATATTTATACTAATATTCTGTGTATACGCACACATAAATCTATTATTCACTGAATCTGCTTTACTAAGCGTATCTTTTTCTTAACTACTAATTTAATACATTTTGTCCAAATCTCTTTTCAACTAGACAAATCCATGAATGCCAAACAAATGTAAATTAGTACACAAACAGGGACAAATTTAGCAATAAAACCTGGTGAACTAGTTTAGTGAAAAGTCTTTTCCTATGCAAATGGTAGCAAACAATGAAACTAGGCCTCAACTCATTCACACCATGTGGTCAATGGTGGATTAAAATCCACATGGTCAGACAAAAAGTAAAATTGTTTTTTGTTTTATATATAAAAATGACAAAAGGTTGGTAAAACGTAACAAGCAACACAATAATTCATCACTATGTTCTACAACAAGAGATATCTTAAAAAACAAATATCTAATCCCTATCTGCTATCTGCATTCATTCCATTAAAACCAAATCATCATTCATTTATTCATTTGTATACAGACAGACAATTTACAGTATGATTTAAGCAAAATGCATAACATTTATATTTTCC